GTGATGCTAGTGCGATGTCTCATGCATGATCTCCTCCGTCTTACACCTCCAAGGTTCTCACCGATATTTTTATTCTGTTGCCTGTTCAGTGGAGTTCCACTCCCAAAAAAGAAAACGGCATATTCTACAAAGTTCGTGTCTTTGCGACCTTTGGCACCACGTTTTGCTGTGCAAATGCCTCTTTTACAAATGCAAGAATTGGTTTCCGATTTGTCAATATGGAGTCACCAGACGCACCTCGTGAACAACGTCCTTTGATCGCAAATCCGGATTTTGAAGGCACAGACACGACAAGGAAGACGCTCAAAGAACCCGTTGTTCGAGAAATGACGAGTCGCGGCAACTCGGTCTACGAGCCATTGCAGAACCCGGATGACGGCAACTCAGCGACAGCCCGTAGCGACAGCGGCAAGGGCGGCGATGCTGCACATGATTTCCAGAAGGTCAGCTGGACGCCGTTTGTGATCCTGGCTGATATCTGTGCTGTCGTACTCCCGGTTGGGTTTCTTATCTTTGCCTTCTTGGTGTTGAGAATCAATGGGCAGGAGACCGACGAGGCCTCTGCTGGACAATATCGAAATGCAGTCGCCATTGTACGTATTCTTTATCTCTCAAATATCCCGCTTCATAGCTCAATACTGACATGGACTGTTCCAGCTTGCCACCCTCTTCCCTATAATATTTGCGGCCATCATAGGCCGTCTCATGTCCCAAATCGCCCGTTGGAAACTCGAAAGGGGCGCCACCATGGGAGCATTGGAGCAACTGATGGGAAGCCGGACCGTCGGCGGCACGCTATTGATTCATATCCAGCTTCGGGCCATCAACCTCCTGACACTATCACTCATTCTAGTATGGATCTTCTCGCCTCTTGGTGGTCAATCGGTGTTGCGAATGCTCGAAACCCGGCTTCGAAACGTGGTTACACCTTCAAGTGTCGTCTACTTCGACACTGATGCCCAGTCCCTGTTCGCTTCCTGGTCAGATGCCTCGCCGACGAGCTACGCGTATAACATCAATCGGATGTCCATTGTCAATGCCATGTACAATGCTCTGATTCTCAGCCCCGATGCCGTAAAGAGCGATTCCATGGATGTCTGGGGAAACGTCAAGATTCCGGCGCTATCGTCCTACGGTAATTTTGAGACGACAGAATGGCAAGACGTTCCAGCAAATCTAGGGGAACTAGAGTTTTCATCTCTCGTCGGCGTTCCCATCACGCACGTCGCTGAGGGAAACACAACCATCTTGCTGGAATCGAGCTACATGCACTTCGTATGTGACAATATCAGCGTCTCGGCGTTCTCGTACGATACCCAATCCGGCCCTTCGTTTGCCACGGCCGTCATATTCAACGAAACTTCGCTCTGCATGTCCGACCGCTGCAGAACCGTCGCCAACGGGACCTGGCAGGGTTGGAACCTCAATCAGACAACCTCGTCAGACGGCATGTCAGGATGGAATCTCGCGCTTGACAACTTTGTAGATGCGCAGTGGAATGACTACGACTGGTACAGCAAGCGCGGGCTCAGGGTCGAAGACTCCAACCGCCCCAACGTGTTTGCAAATGAGAAGGGAGTGGTGGCAAACCGGACGACGTTGCTCTTCCAAGCGAGGGAGCAGACTAGTTCCCGCGGACCACCGGATTACACGACGTCTCGCTGCGTCATCACACAAAAATATGTGGAGTCAAGAGTGCGTTGCTCGCGAGACTCTTCCACTTCTGCCGCTCGACAGAGTTGTAGTGTCGTGGCTCAGCGCCCTTCTCAAAAGACCCACGCCGATGAGAACATCTCCCAGCTGTCCTTTACACGAGTCTTCCGCTACGTCTCACGGAAGCTGCCTCAAGCAACAAACCACTTTGGCTCAAGCTACACGTCGGATATCTCCTTGAACTACCTCGAGAACCCATCCTCGATCACCATGACTGGTGCAAATACGCCGCCGGAGTTGGCGAGCATCAACCCAAAGGACTTTGGGTACCGACTAGCGCAACTTGTCAACTCGTACGTTTTCCTCAGCCAAGCTTTCTCTGACGCCCCCAGTGGGAGCGTAGACGCGAATGCCACCTTTGAGCCCAATTCCACGGTTGGCGTCGACGTCGAGACCTTGGTGGAAGTCTTCCACGTCCCTGGTCTATGGATGGGCCTGTATATTCTGTCTTGTATTGTACTTCTCTTGGGAGGTTTGACAAGTGCTATTGTCACGCACTTTGTTCACGGGCCGGAGATTTTGGGATACGCGTCGACCGTCGTGCGGGATTCCAAGTATATGGATATATCTCCCAGCGCTGGAAGAATGGACGGCATTGACCTCGCTAGGATGTTGAAAAATCGAAGGTTAAGATATGGGTATACCCAAATGGCGCTTGAGGGCACTGCGCTTGTAGGCGTTGGGTCACAGGACGAAGTGGTAAGAATGAAGCAGAAACATTGAGCGGTCGTGGTGGGGTGTGGAAATGGAAAATTCTGTTTCCTAGAAACATTTGAGAGTATGTGTAACATTTATTTGCAGAAGTATCTGCTCCCCGTTGCCGGTGTGATCTAGTAAAGTGTGCAGTGACTCGAAGGCGATAATTAGTCCAATTACGAGGTGTCTAGAGCATGGAAGAGTCAAATCGAAAAGTCGAATAGAAAGCAAAGTAACAAAGACTTTAAACCGTCAAATCTGAGAAACCATGTAAATAACTAAAGGGTATTGTTTGTTCTTTGTCTGTTGAGTACATACAGTTTGATACTGGGTATAACTCAAGTCCTTGACAAGGAGGCGCTTTGTTTCTAAGGTATTTTCTAGACACGGAGACCAATCAAGGACTGTACATAGACAACGTTCGCAACTCAATATGATTAGGCTTCAAGCCCATCGAGCTTATAATGCGTCGGCTGTGGTCTCTGCCCGGCTTGTGAGTGGTCTACTTCGACGCTGCCAGAGACCAGAGTACCAAACCGTCAAGACACTGCCCAAACCATGGAGGCACAACGACCGCGCCCTCCGAATCCTTCTGAACTATGTTCCTGTATTGTCCACTGGCATGGACTTGGACCTGAGCCGCCAGGTCAGTACGGCAGTTACCGCCTGCCAGAGCTAGTCACCAACACGATCGAAAACGGGCAAGCCCTGGGCCCCTACACCAACCTAGAACATCACGATGAACTGAAACATGCACTGATCGAAGGATTTCATGAACTCTATAACAATCGAGACCCAAGTCACTATGCTCACATTATCAGGGTGGCGTCTCTGCTCGACCACTACTTTTTCAGAGGATGGCTTACGGCGCGTCGACGACGAACGGGTATCGTGCAGTCGCACCTTAAAGTGTGTATTCGGGAGAACAACGAGGTTTGTCGGGAACAAGGTAGCGCTTCGCACGTGGAAGTGGTCAAGGAGCATGCTGGCTCGCTACCCAGCGTTGACATTGACATTGACTCTGCAGGAACGTGGACGATTGCGCAAATCGTTGAGCTCCTGATCCATGAGATGACTCATGGATATTTGATCTTGTTTACGTGCCGTGGGGGCTTTGATTACATGGCTGGCTGCTCCTTTCACCATTCCGCTGCGAGAAATCACCACGGTCTTTACCTGCGGAAGTTGCTGAGGCATGTGTATCAAACTATACAAGAGTGGGACGATATGTTGAGTAACTTCGGGACGGAATGTGCACTGAGCTGTCACTGTAATGATTCAAATTCTGCGTTTGAGAGAAGTAGATCCAGCACGCCGGTTTAATCAAAACAGTTGGTTGAGATGAGAGAGACTGAAAGCTACAAAAGTGTGTTCAAGACCTGTAGGTCCAATCAAGGCAGCAATTCGTTGGAGGGATAAGTTCAGTCCAGAATATGGTTACAGAGAATTTTGTTCTATCAAAGCCTGCTATTTCATTACCCTGATATCGATTTAGCCGAAAGTTAGAACAATAATAGATTAAAAACTCCGAAAGATGCGGGAAATTGCTTTGAATGGGGATCCTCTTGCGTTCTGGAACGTGAAGACGAGTCAAACTCCCTGCTCTACTGACAATTGAGACTCTATCTGAGATTCATGACTGACACCCTAAATTAGGATTAGTATCTTGCTTCTTAGCGTGTACGAGATCGGGTTGAGCCATTACATATTCAAAGCAGTGGAGAAAGGTGACCCTGGATTTGGACCTTGGCCTCAGTTTCATCTCAGCAGTTGCAATTTGTAACTTGTGAGCCACCAGACATATATTTGCCTTCCTTGCGCACTTGTATGAAAATTGAGACAGCCATCACTCATTAAATTTTACTCCATCATATCACAGCTTGTAAGCTTTCCTAACCCAAGTTTCGACCTGCCTTATCCTCAAGGCCTTCTGTACAATGAATCGTCAACGAGACAATGGCCATGACGCGTAAATTGCTACGACTTCCCAAAGGGAGCACCACCGGACTTGAGCGATTTCAATGACACTATATAATTACCCAAATTGGAAGAAATCAATAGGAAACCAGGATGTCCTTGCTCGCCAGTGGAGCACCCCCTGGGACCCGCAAACGGTGCAAAGCTGCAAAGGCTTGGATCAGGCTTCGACGTACGCTGGAGCTTTCTTTCGGCAAAATTCTGCCGATGAGACCAATGTGGAGATGGATTCCACCAGGGGTCGCATTGGTCGTAAATATTGTAGGAATCGTTGTCTGAATTCTTACGGCCGCTGTTGCTGATGTGTAAGTGAATCTAAAGATTGAGGCTCACCACCACGTCCCACTTGGCGGCGGCAACAAACTCGAACTAAGCAGATCTCCAACACTAGGTTGTGCGAGTAGCCCTAGCGTAAGCGTCGTAAAGCTAATGTTGTGTAACGTGCGGGATGTCATCCTTCGTCGCCCCGTCGACAAGGAATGTAGTAGCGGTACTTATCAGTGACAATTGTTGGCCGAGGTAGCCCGCTAACAACTAAGTTCCAGGCCGTCTTGCTGATATCAAGCCATCCGAAGCTACAGTTTCAAGCTTTAGGTTGTCTTGGAGGAAGTGATTTCGTGGTATTATTACTATCAATGTCTGTTGTGACTCGTGGTCTGGTGGTATCCTGATGTGCCCAAACTCCCAATGCTACATTTACCCAAATTTCAGCCAGTCCCGGAAGAGATAACCCCAATTTGTTGATGGCGCCTTCCAGAATGCATTATCTCATAAAAATCGTAGGTCCCAAGTGTCCCATGTTGTTGTACATTGTTATACCATGTGCGCCGGGCTCGGCCGCGTCACTTCTTCTTCGCTGCGCTCCGTCTCCGCCACGTAGTTACCAAAGCTGCCGGGCTTCTCGCTCGGAGAGTTTGTCGTGTATGTCTCGACCGCCTTGGGAATGGGCGAGAGCGGCGCGTTGGACGCCGGGCCACGGCTGTGTCGGTCGACCGTCGAGGGAACAGTCCTCGAAGTCCCCGTCCTGGTGACAAGCAGGCCCATGCGGGCTGCGAGGGCTTTGAGAGGAGGCAGGCAAAGGCATACCATTGCCGCTGAAAGCTCGCCGAGGGACCACATGGCGGGCTCCACGTTCCAGTAGGTGAAGTCTGGGTTGATCTTCAGGAATTGGAGGCGCAAGACGGAAATCCCAACGATACTAGAAGGAGAAAAAAAATCAGTCAGTCAAAGTCGAGCATAACAGTATCGCAATAGCCAGACACTTACAGGAATCCAAGACTGAAGATGCCAAGCAGGTACAGCTTTTGAGTCCTCGGAAGTTTGAGCTGGATCAGCGCTGGCAGCGGCAGAAGGAAGATGAGAACGTCCGTTGCGATACTGCAGGCCCCGAAGAGGTAAAATAGGACTTGCTGAGGAAGACACTTTGCCGGGACTGAGTGGTCCCAAAAACCCTCGAGAGGAATGCACCATATGAATGAGATGATCACAACGCTAAGCCCCCAAAGCCCTACAAAGATCATGGCTGCGATGTAGTACTTCTTCATGTAGTGAGTCACCAGTACGCGGTAGTACTGGAGCAAGAATGCCATCTTGAATGACAAGTGGCCCAGGCTGTAGAAGAGCACAGAGACCCAAAAGCACTAAAGCGGTTCGATACGTCAGAGAAGTTTTGATTCGATTTTGGGGCAAGGCTGCTTACTTTCATGAATCCAATCATCTCTTCCGGCGCAACCGTCTGTTGGTGTTTCCCGAGGCCATACCGCGTCACTGTCGCCGATTAGTCTGCGTGTTCAGCTCGCATGGAATGGGCAAAAAACTCACTCACTGCCTGCGAAAGACCGACGCCTAATACCGATATCTGATTACCACAGTCAGCTTTTCCGTCAACACACCACAAAGGTTTTGCCACGGTTTGCAACCTTTGGTTCGAACTTACCAACGAGAAAGCGGCAGCCCAGTCGTCGATACCAATTCTCTTGACAATGTGGAAGCGGGTCCAGAGGCGCAGGATCAATATGCCCGTCGATATGAAGAGGCACATTGATATCACTCCCAGAACCAGGGGCGACTTATCCTCCTGCAACTGCTCGGGCGATAGCTGTGGTAAAGGATCCATGTTGAGCGTTTGGACGGAACGCGCGACCCGCGCTCAGGAAAAGCTTCGTGATATTTGGTTTATGGGCGTGTATGTCTCTTGCTTTCTCTCTTTCTGTCTCTCTCTTCTCCTGTCTCTCCAAAGACTCGGGTCTAGGGGTCTTCTCTCCCTTGAGTTGTGCGACGTGTGAGGGTGTGTAAGGCTCGCGGGGGGTTAGGGGCTCGCGGGGGGACTAGCCATCCCTTATAAAGATAAAGATCAAAGACTCTCATCGAGGAAAAGCCGGATCTTGACCCCAAAATGTCTCAAAGCACGGTCGGCAGCAAGGCAGTTCGATTCATTTTCCTTGGCATTTGGGCTGAGAAAGAAACAAATCACAAGACAGTGGCACCTTGACTACATTCTGGGGCGGGCTGTAGCTGTAGCTGACGGCTGGCGGCTGCGGTCGACGATGGACTGTGGCTGCGAGAAGGGGTTGCGCCTTGGACGCATGCAGTCTATGGAGGCGCACGACAAAAGCAAGGGAAATTCCCATCCGTGCCACCTTTTTCTTTTCGATCCGTGGGAACGAAGTGAGAAGGGCAGCAGGCAAACAAATCGGCTTCGGACCTAAGACTCTGGGTCAAGCAGTCATTGCTTCTTCTTCCCTCCTTCGGGGGCCGCAAATGGTAAGGTGCCTCTCGGTTTCGGGAGGACCTAGAGGCCTAGAGCTGAGACGGCGGCTGGATCATCCCCTCCAACATTCCAGAGGGTGCTGACTTTTGGTGGCGTCAGTCTAGCTCTCGGGAAACCGCGACACCGTTTTCAAAGATCAGCTCATCCAGGACAAAAGAATTCTCTTGGTTCGGGAGTATCACGAATAAGAAAAGAGCCTACTAAATCGAGCGCCCGAGATTGGGGATCGAAACGCCGTTCCCCCGATCTTCTCGTGTAGTTTAGCACCCAAAGGCAAGAACGCGGGAGGCCTTGTGCCGCGATGACCTAAGTATCCGCGCCGACATTGCCCAAAGGGGAAGCACATGCTAATATTTATCGACTTGGACCTCGCCGAAGGTCCAACTTGAGAGACGAAGTCCACGTGGCGCTGTCATCGTGTTGTTCGCATCTGGTAAAGTCTCGCCTTCCACCCGAAAGTCCGAGGTAGCCTGCTTTATTCGTCGTGAAGAGCCATGAAGATCATCCCTCGTGATGATTATTCACCATCTTGACCGTTTGCTGTGCAGAGATGGAAGTTTCCGAGACATCCCTCAGGAGCAGATGTTCTGGAGCTCCCGTGGCTGTGGTATCACGATGTGACGATAGTAGCTCAACCCTGGAAATGGAGCCCTGTTGTATATATAGGCCTAGAACGGCCTGAACATTCATTCCTCTGTTGTCTCTCCGATTCTCTTTTCGTATTTTTTCTGCCCATTCATTTACTTATTGCATCTGCAGATTAGGATCTCTGATGTTACCTCGAGCCGTGAGTCAGGTTTGCATATGCTCGCCTGCATGTCGTTCAATAAACGCGACATTCTTCGCGGAGATGCAGAAAAAGGCAGGTTGGAGGCTCAAGGCCAGAAAAAAAAACAAGACTTTGTACAACCACACTCCCCACGCAGGGTTGCGGCACGGCCGAGGCCGTACCGTACAGATGTACGTGCGTGACAGTACGTGCGTGCGTGCGTGGGGTTCGGTTCGGTTGGTTTGGTATGGTTTAGGATGGTTTGCATTGGATGGGATTGGATTAATGGGATGTTTCCCTCTTCTTCTTTCGTGCCACCGGCCGGCCAAGAGCTGCACGAAAGTCCTCAAACTGGGGAAAGATCTCCACTAAACAGTGATCTGAGCGGTTCGCTTCGCAAATCGCAACCCTCTCGCTGTTTCGCTTCTCATGCCGCTCTGGTTGATCGGCCACCAATTTCTCTTTGTCATGTTCCGAGCGAACAAGAGGTGCCAAATCCAACCTCACACGCACTTGATTGCGGGAGGGAGGGGAACAAGAAATTGTGGGGTTTGCCGTTGGTGGTCGAATGTTTTTAGCGCGGCTCGAGTTTTGACGCTACAGTTGCATTTTTGCAATTCGTATCCGTAGAGCCTCAACACTTGGTAACACTCATTTCAATTGCATTAACACACCTGCCTCTCGAAATTCAATTGTTGCACTTCTTGACACGATGCGACACAATTCTGTAACTAGTTCCCCCTATTCTTTGCGTCTTTTTCGTAGGAATTGCGACTCGTCAGAAATTGTATGCATACTTGAGTCGTGTCTCGCTGCCAATTGCTAATAACAATTAGCTCGAGCTTTAGGGTGGCTGGCTGGTTAGAGCAGAATCATTGATGAACGAAAGAACCTATCTGTAGTTAATCAGGACCATCACAAATCAAGTGTTGTTTGTGACTTCTCATGGGCGCGAGAATACTCGCATGATCTGATGAGTAAACACCGGAGGTATTCTGCCAACTCGCTCGCGGCTTGGTCGCCACGAGGTCAGCGAAGCAGATCAGTCTGTACTTTTGACCAAGCCAGTTGGTGTTCAGTCGTTGACTTCCATCGGTTCGAGACCTCCTGCTCTGTAGTGATCTCAAATAGCGACTCAGAGAGAATAGACGAAAGATACCAATTGCAAAAAATCCTGGGGACGACAGACTCTCCGGACAATTCGGCTCCAAGAAGGAACCAATCGTTATCAGTTGAGAATACTACTCCCGGACCAAACACGTCAATAATTCCGCACCTTCCGGGATATCAACCGAAAAGTGACTTTGTAGACAAAAGGTGACTTGAAGGCAAGTACATGATCGTCGCCAAAGAAACCATCTCCAACCGTCCAACGAAGCAGGGCCAAGTAGTAGCGGTGAAGAATTATCGTATGTGATTGCCACGCGAACATGGGCCACCGACAAAGGGAGCAAAAAATCCAACATGGCCAACAGAACGCATGTCCAGGCCACGGGGATGGGTTTATGCTGTTGGTTTTGGATATGTGCGTTGGTGCAGGTTGGATGGCAAGCAAATATAGTTTCAGGTTGGACACGGAATACTGGACGGAATAGAAAGGTGGTGGTGGCGCGTGCCAAACTGTCGGTTCCCTCGGTTAAGCGGTACGTTATTTCGCAACTGCAAGACCGTCAGGGAAAGGGAGAGAGGAGAGGTTGGTTTGTCTTTCTTTGTAAGTTTCGGTCGCTTGGCCGATTTACCTAGGAAAGTTCATGTAGTACGGACATTACTCCGTAAATGTTGGAGTGAGAAAACCTGCATATAAAACCCCGGGCCCCCTGTCCTGTGTACCGTACCCTGCCCGGCTGCACTTTGCTTCTTAAGCGGAATTGCCGCAGGAAAGCTGCATGATGCGCGCGCTGCAGCGATGCAGCGATGCAGTACCTAGACGAGCTGCTAATGCTGTCTTTTTTTGCGTATCTGCAACGAACAAAATTCCCTCAGTACGTAATCCGCCGGTCAGCAGGTCGCAAATCATGCAGGGCCAGTTCTTCCGGTAACCCTTGTATCTTTGAGTCCTTGGACTCTGATGATTCCATCGATTCCATACAGATACCTGTCCAAAGAAACCAGTCTGTTTGGTTGGCGATGTCTGTAGAATGGCCCCTCTCTCGTTCTCCAACAAAGAAGAGATAGACAGAGAGAGGAAACAGCCCCCCCCCCCTCCCTCTCAGGCCCCCCAGAGTATCACTTATCATCGCACAGGATCCTGCATCAAACTATTGGAGACCCAGCAGGAAACCTTCACAAGTTCGCAAATCATTCCTCGCATTTGAGCTGGCCCGCTCTCCAAGCTTCATACTTTGCAAAAAAGTCGAATCATTGGGGTCGCACGACATGGAGCCTGGGCGTGAAGTGGGCGGGGGGAGGGGGTTGATGTGATGTGATGCGATGGGTGTGTATTATGCCGAAGCATCGGAAAACGCTCCAGTCTGACCCGTTTCGTCCCGTTTCGTCCGAAATTCTTCAATACCACATGGCAAGCGTACCCGCGCATTCCGGACACTTTATGGGAAGGCGGCTCTTGGTATTTATATCACGACGGAACCGTACGTTTTTTTCGTCTCGTGTGCGCGCATGTGTTTGCGGGAAGAAAAGGAGCAAAACGGCCACAAGCAGAACAGAAGAAAGAAAAGAAATAAGTTCAAAGATCCTGCTAAAATGAAGCTAGAAGGAACTTTTGGGTATCCTCGTTACAACGCTAAGCCCTCCTTCCGTGGAATTCCCCTCCCATTACCCCTCAAACCATAAGCCTCCCTTCGGACATGGCTTGGCAGCATTCCAGGCTGGTCTACAACTCCTGCCTGCTACAAGTGAGGTCACTGAGGTGAGTGATAAGCACTTGACCATCCCATACCCGCCTGCTACCTTGCCTCTCTCGCCGGGATCCTACTCAAATCTGGATCAGAACCCCGAACAACGCCAGTAACGATGGCACGCACGTCACGCCAATTACTTGGTGTCGGTGGATCGCGTGGACGAGGTCGCCCTGCTGCTTCCCGTCTCCTTGAGGATCTGGGCCTCCTCTAGCGCCTCTCGCTTTGCAAACTCATCAAGAAGCTTGTGCGCTGTCTCAAGAGGCAACTCGGCTATCATGGCCGATAGGTTCTACGGAAACCGGGTCAGTCGATCGAGATCTCTTCATGCAAGAGTTTACGGCCGTAAGGGGGGCGAAGTAGGTGAGGCGAGCGTTACAGCGCCGGCCGGAGGCTTAGCCTGAAGGCCAAAATTCCAGAAGAACGGTACAGTGAGTTACTTACCGCGGGGAAGATGTCGGACGGATGATACTTAAATTCCTCCATCATGCGGTTCAGGCGGAGTACCTGCTTCCACGGGACAATAGTGTCTCCAATCAAAAAGGTAGGGAACCTTGCCATGGCGAGCTCTTCAAGGATCCAGCGACGTTGAAAGTAGGAACGGCCCATGAAGTCGTTGGCACCGGCCCAGTGCGGCATCATGAACGGAATCTCGCCGTTGGGACCAGGAGCCCATAGAGACGCAATGGGGACCGCCCACTTGTGAGTTGGCGCGTAGTCTTCGGGGTGCTTTTCGCGGTCGCCGGGGTCGCCCCAGTGGGGCGGGATGGCGTCCTCGATCCGCGCGAGAGCGGCCATGGCCTCATCGGTGTAGTCCGTCTTGTCGCCCAGCCACCCGACGACAAGCTCCGCGTTGCGGTAGATGTTACGCATGTCCGTGTGCTGCTTGGACTTTTCGACATCGTCGCGTTGGTTGACGCAGAGGAAGTCGCACCACACCCTCAAACACCTCGACTCCAAGTCACTCTGACGTGAGCTAGAGAGACCAAAGAGCTGCCTAAGCCATCGCGGGGCGCCGTGAGGCCGCCTGGCCGGCGTCCTTTGGAAGCGCTGCGAGATAGTCGGATAGAAGACGGCGCGGACCTGCTTCAGTGCCTGGGCCAGATGAGCCGTGATAGTGACGGCGTGACTGCCCACGAAGATCTTTTCGGTCTCGGCCGCGTCGCCATAAAGTGACGAGAGGGCGATGTACTCGCGGGACAGCTCATCGGTCAGGCGAACTGTGATGAGCCGACACTCGACTGGATCGCTGAGGCTGCGCGCGGACTGGATCTCAAGCAGGCGGATCTCACGCCTCGAAGGGTCCAGACGCCGATATTGAATGCTCATCTTAACGGCAGCAATGCTCTGGTTCGGTTCGGCGGAGCGAGCGAGCGAGCGGGATCGGGCGAGAACTTGGCCAAGCAGGAGACAGCAACAAACAGTTGTCTCGATTGTTCACCCCTCGCAGATTCTGTGTAAGGTACCGGTATCCGTATGTGCTTTTCTCCTGTCTCTGATGTGCCGATTCCTGTGCTCCAGATCAGGTCTCAGGTGAGGGCCTGTTGCTACCGGTATCTCTCTCTTCTCCAGTTTCTGCAGGTCGAGCTGTGGGAGAGTGGAAAGGGTGGCAGGGCAGGGGTGGGTTTCCAACACTCAGTCTCACACTCAGTTTCCGAGAGTAAGGTAGGTATTACGAAGTATCCGTACGGGTCTGCTGTTGCTGCTGCTGACAGGATTTGACTTGACTTGCGGCGTGTGAGTGTCTGGGTCGCACACCAACAATGCAACAGCAGGGCGAATCTGAAGCGCGTCCAGCGCAGAAGTGAGGACTCCGAACGGGACGCCGGCGTTTATACCAAGAAGGCGCAGATGCGGGCCCAGCGGCTTGGGCAGGGGATCTCTGGGGGCATCGATGCTGTCGGCTGTTCCCAATGCCATGCTCGGGTTGAGATTTTCATAGCACAGGGGTCCAGACTCCAGCCAGACATTCCAGCGAGACAGAGAGAAGCCGAAAAAGACGGGCACAGCGTGCCAATGGGGCGTAAAGGTCGACGAAGTTCGACGGGATACGGCTAGCTTCCCCCTCCTTCAGAAGGAGACGGACTCACGCTATCCAGGGGTCGCAGGTGGGAAGGTTCAAGGTTCAAGGGCAAGAGGGAGGGGGTGTGTGTCGTAACTAAGTCTTGATGCGTGGTTGTGTGCTTGTGGACTGGCGGTGGTCGTGGAGCGTGGATGCGTGTGGTGGTCGCCATCAGAGACATTCGGGAACATTTCCAAGGAGAGCGGCACGGCACTCGTACTGGCAGCAGCGTGGCGAGCGGCTGGTCTATCGGTCATTGCCTGGAATAGTGACACAATTTGACGAGATGGTGGACGGGGAACAATGAAGCTAGATGACAGATGCACCACGCAACCAGCACGCGAAGTTGCACTTTGTGGTGAGTTGAGTACGGAGTACGTACAAGTACTGTGCAGTAGACGGTAGCAAAAGGGAAAGAACCCTTGCTTGGCGTTGCTTGCCTGGTTCTGGCTTTGGCTGCCTACTACACTACGTACCCTATGACCCGGCATGGACCCGGTGGAGAAGGCGACGGCTGAAAACGGCCACTTCTCTGCTGCATTTGTGCAGAGACCCAACGTACCAAGAAGACCTTGTGGATTTCCCTTTTACCAGTGGAGGGCAATGGAACACTTTCGTCAAGACACGACACGCAGGCAAAGCCGCAGGTTCGCGTAACGTACGGAGTAAGCAAGGTGGTGGCAGGCTTGCACGCTTGGTAAGGTAGGACAACCAGACCCAAAACATCGAGTGGGCAGAAAAATAGGTCATGGACCATCCATGGTAATTCAAATGTTCGGCGATCTAAAAGCGAAAGCAAGGTTTTTCCAGGTTTCTCGCTCCGATGCCTCGACCATTCTGCAAACGCAATCTCCCTCCTCCGACTGAGACCCCCTCCGAATGATGAATCTGCGCCCCATCCGCCATCCGGCAGTTCGCGTGTTGGAGCGCGTGTTCGTCTGATTCGAATGATTCCATACAACGGCCGCAACAGCCACATAGTCACCAAGTGAACAAGCAACTACGCCGTAACTGTCCACAGTTCCAGACCCGTACGGCTCACGGAACGCCGAAGCTGAGACGGGACCAGAGGGAATGGGACGGAACACCTAGCGAAAGCGGCAACCATCTTTGTGTGTATTGGAGCTTTACTGCTCTGGGTTTGGGAAAGTCTGTGAGTGCAGCGTGCCACCCCGCCCACCCCAGCACCAAGGCACGAAGCCACGGCATGGCTCCAAGGCATGGCCCGCAGCCACCTACGGATACCGCATTACGGCTCTGATGGGATGGATTTATGGATGGATTGCCTATGGGTAGCCTGTACGGATACTGTGTAAGGATAGGCAAGTTGTTCGTACACAGTAGAGGAAGGGGCCCCCTTTTCCCACTTGGCAACCGTTGGCGGGCACAATTGGACCCGTCGTGACAGTTAGGTAGGCACTCCGTACTGGGTTGAATGCTAGGTTTGTGTGCTGGGTACGGAGTGTATGGAGGAGCAATTTGCAGATGATCATGTCATGTTTAGGAAGCCAATGTTCGCGCGACCCCAGATGACCCCCACTTCCTTCCTGCGACCTGCGTGCATGGGATGGCAGGTACGGAGTAACACAGGCCCTGACAGACACTGACGGCTCTTGCGCTCTTGGGTGGGCTCCTCTTTTATCTTCTCTTTTTCTGGGACCCGTTCCTGCCGTCCCACCGTCTCCTGACTCGGGGTTACCATGTTCATGTTCCTTGCTGACTACAAACTCACGTGCGTCGTCATCGCCGCACCGCACGCCGCAACTTCGCAACTCCCCCTCCGAAAATATGCCATGCTTCCCGTCTTTGGCACTGCCCTAAGCCACCTCTCTTGCCGTCTTACTACGCTGCACATATATCGTCAACCCGGGAATACACCCATTTTAGGCACACTTGGGGAAACCTGGCCGTCAACAACTACACATCCATGGACCATGATGCGATCCGGGAGTTGATGCGGTTTCGGGATGATCTCACAATCGAACCCCTTCCACGGAGTCGCCTACGGAGCACACTACCTCACCCACACACTCCCTTACATCTAGCAGCACCATGACAGCACACCACTCTTGTGACCTCAAGTCTGGACTCTGTAGTGTAGTCTGCACCCGAGACTGCGTATCGGCACTCGACCTTGGTTCGATTGATATCTCCTGGCACCATGATCCATCCTCTACTGCGTGGTTGGTCTCCGTCACGGACCTTCCTCCGTCCACTCTCGCACAAACTTTGTACACCACCACCACCACCACCACCTTTCTCTTGCTGCATTGCATGGCCACGACCCTTGGGAATGCTTGCCCATTCTCCACTAACAACTTGTCAACCCTGGCTGGACCGCGGTACCAATGCACATTGTAGCGTGTGTACACAAAAGTAGTGTACCTCCAACAACGAGGGACAAACCTGCAGCGTTGTTGAACTAGCAACTGGGACTAAGCCCACTCTGCTCTTAACCCTGTCCACATGCCACACGAGCCAACGGCGAACCGTCAAACGGTTCGGTTTGGCCTAGGGATGAGGGAGCGATGGCTGGCGATCGAGGTATCAAATCGTACCGCATTTTCTCTCACTTTGCCCTGATGCCACTATTCCTTACCTCTTCCTGATCGTTGCCTCGCTCACCACCTCACCATTGCCGCCGTAGCCAAACCTGGACCGCCGAATGCCTCCTCCTCCTCCTTCGCCCCGGCACCTCGCTCGAAATGGAAACCTCTCGATGCCCTGCCACCCACATGCCTTTCATATCGACCTCCCTGTCCATGGGAGCATCGCGAGCCCATGTTAGGAATAAAAAGCCCAGGTCTCCCCCGTCAAGAGGTTTCATGGATATGGCCATTAGCTTCTTGTCTGTGCTTCTTCTAGACTAAACTCTACCTACACCGACAGTTCATATCCAGTATTAACCGCCCTTACTAACCCACCGCCCTTCCTCTAGAGCTCGCTCCTCTTGAGCTCTCACTTGTTGCCCTTAATGTCCACCTCGCCCAAGATTATGGTCAGCCCTCCCGGTCTCAGCCCTGGAGGAATCAACAGCGCCGCTGTTTCGGTTGCCCAGCCGTGGCTCCGGATGCTCAGCTCCGTGTGGGGAATGTGCGCCCCGAAGCGAATCCGCCTCGAAGATGACCTGGCAAAGGAGCCCAAGCGGCTGGCTGCCCTCTGCAAGCCCATTTGCAAACAGATGCTCGAGGACCTCAAGTACCCCGGCGTCCCACGGGTCAAGCGCGAGTCCGTCGAAGCGCTGCTGAAATATATGCACAAGAGAGCCGTCGAGATCGGATGGCCACTCGATACCCCTCTGTCCCAGAAGGGGTTCCGCTTGGGCTTCTCACTAGCTGCGGTATGTATCCCACCTCCCTACCATTCATGCTACCCTAAAGCCACGTTTTGACGTTTGAGTAATACCTCGATTTTATTTTGGAAATTCTCCATGGATTAAAATGTGATTGTGATAAGTAGCGTGCTGACGGAACACCCGCAACAGATGTGCCATCCCCGTCACCCGATAGAGGTGCAGGGTTATGTTGGGCTCTTCACCTGGCTCGTCGTTCAGTACGACGACATCGTGGGCCAGAATGAAGGCGGCATGGACGAGGCCCAGCACTTCCAGCGGCGCTTCCTCAACGGCGAGACCCAGCCCAACGCCATGCTCGAAGGGCTGGCGGGCCTGCTGCGTCAGGCTCCTGACATCTTTGACCCCGTCATGGCCAGCCTGTTGCAAATCTCGGCTCTCAAGTTCATGACTTGCAACCTGCTCGAGCGTCACGATGGCTTCCAGAACATGAAGACCACGCGGGGCGCCGGGATCAAGTTCCCCGACTTCCTGCGCGACCTGGCTGGCATAAACGTGGCGTACGCCGTCTTCTGTTTTCCCAAAGCCCAATACCCGGACGTGAGTCAATACCTGGAGGCCATCCCTGACATGGCCAGGGTGATCGACATTTCGAACGACGTTTTCTCGTAAGTCAATTCACCCCCCGCCAGTATCTATAACACACGGACACTTTTTAGTGTATATTTGCTTTTTCTTGATCCATCGACGTATGTCTGACCGCGTGCCCATCTATCAGCTTCTACAAGGAGGAACTTGGCGGCGAGACCAGAAATTATATTCACAATCGCCGTATGGCAACCGGCAAGGATGTCTTCGCAGTCCTGGAAGACGTCGCCACCGACACGGTAGATGCCGCCAACAGAGCCTCCGCCATCCTCAAGGGGAGGGGCACGTACGAGCAGTCCATGCAGGAGTGCGCCCGGGGCTTCCACGCCATGCACACATCGAACCCACGGTACAAGATGGCCGATATGGACCTGGCCGAGGAGCATCCTCTGGCTCCGTACGAACATCTCATGGCGGAGATCTTTGGTCAAGAAAAGGTGAAGGCATGAAAGCTTCGCAAGCTTTGCCCTTCTTCCCCTTTCATGACTTACACACCCCCACACACACCGGTTACGATTTGATGTTATTGCGATTTGGAAGCAGCATGAGATACCTACTGGGAGGCATTCTGATTATTTATTGTTCGGTTTTGTTTTTATTTCTTTGGTACGAAGGTTCGACTATCGATTCGCCTTGTCATTGGTGTGGCTGTTTCGTTTTTATCGACTGCATGGAAGAGCACGCTGAGCGACTGAACGTAGCATTTGCAATCTTAGGTTATCGGATATCTGTAGTGCCGACCGAGAAAGTTTTGTACTATTTGTGAGAGAGCGCGAAAAAAGAGCTTGTCGATTTTTATGATTTTCAACAAATGTATCCGTACAAACTCACAAACTTAACTAATGAATACTGCACCTCCTCCATCTTTCTCAGGAAACTTTTGTCCATTGTGTGTCTGCTTTCTTGATCCGTACATAATTTCGTTAGTGCGCCTCTTATACGAGGATTAGTGTACTGTCGTAAAAAGGATTCGATCCCCTGAAAAAGACCACACAAACTTCCAGCTTTGGTGATCGACCACACCCCCCTTTTGCGGTTATCCAAGCGAAAACCCCCCCTCCCTCCATCAGAACCACTTGTCAGCCAGCTCTGGTTCGGTTTAGTGATGCGCATTTGCAAGGGTCCTGGCCAATCATCCCAGAAAATTCACGACTCGGATACCGGACTAAAGAGCGTGGCTTTCGCCAAGTCGACAAGGTTTCTTACTCTTTTTGCATTATCAAAAAAAGGAGAAAAATTGGGTTAGTGTTGGGCATCACCAGATCAAAAAGAAAGAGGATTTTCCGGCAATTGGTATTTGACTCGTGTGACTTGTCATTTTCCTTGCAAGGCTTCGTTCGATACGCGCGCCCATAATATATCACTCGTCAAACGTCACCATACTGGAGACCTGGAGCGCCCTTTTTTGTTGTCTCCCTTCTCCAGGAAATTTTGGCGATGCTACCTATATCATTATGCACATCATCGAAGGAAATCAAAAAGAGGAAAAGCCTCCCTTTTCTTAACCCAGGTTTTTTGTCCGATGGACCGACAGAGTTTGCGGGAAGAGCCGCTCCCTCGCCACGGGACCCGGGGGTTGCGGAGCTCTCTCTCACACTACCTTACCCCCTTTGGACCCAGCAAACTTATTGTGCAGGGTAATTAAGTATGATCATTTGGGAAAGGGGGGACCACCACGCATCCCACGTAATAGTTGTAACCCTCTGGAAACGACGGCACAACGTGACAAAATCCCATTTCCCCAAGCTTATTATGCATTTTTGATACGAGTACGGGATGCTCTTTTCGGACTTGGCCATGTTCTGGAACAATTCTAGATCTGCAGTCCCAGTCATCCATGGAGCAAACTTCAAGTTTGGCAAATTGAAGGCACACCGATATTTGAATCAGGCATGTTTGCTTGCAACCTTGCAAAATGTTGAGTTGCCGGGCCCCCGATAGTTAACCCCCAGCTTGTTTGTTGAGTTGTGTAACCGACATGGGGGCTTCCGAGGATCTTAATTAGTCTCGAAAACCGGTTACGTCAGAAGCCATTGCAAAGCTTTTTCTAGGCATGGAGTATTATCCTTCATGTGGCTAAGTGGCTTGCTTTGCTCTGGAGGTCAACTAACTCCTCTTTCTTCCTATAAGGTTTGATCTACTCACTATGTAAGAAATTTCTGGGCCAATAAACTTCACGTGAAAGCATAGTTAAACGGAACCTGACAATGTTTTGTTCAAAGACAAAGAACTTACTCGCTCTAGTCGACTGTCATCCGATTTGAGTTATCCCACTCCTCACAACTCGCTCGGTCGTGGGGGAAAGATTATTCAAGAGAAGATTCAAAGCATAAAGTCGTACGGCCATGGAATTTCAACCGTTCAGACAGATGAGAGAACTCGAAAAGATAAATACAAGGAGTGCGGTTTCGAGTGAGGTCTTCTTAGGGGCTTCTCGGTCGCAGCTGCTAAGGCTCAAGAGGATAGCTTCCAGAGACAGGAGTTACTACAATCTCAATAACAATGCCACGTATGTTGCGTATGGACTCCTTTTCCCAATACATGAAACTGGGGTCGAATGGCTTTTTTCTCCCTTCTTTGAGCTTAACATGTTCCAGTCCAAACATGTCGAAACTGCCTCGGGCCCCGAGTTCAAGGCCATGATATATTCCCGACTGTGTTCTTTCTCTCCCAATGAGAATTGGAAGCGAAACAATTATGTATCTTTGGTTCTAGAATCTACAGTTCACTATCGTGCGCTATATATAATGGCGTCAGGATGGCAGCTTGAAGTCCACTATTCGCCAGCAACGCACTCGATTCGTAAGTACACTATAACCCGGTAAAACATCACACTTGAAGTTCAGCATCATGACGTCTGAGAGACCAACAAACCAGCAAACCCAAGATCCCGTCGATGAACAGGCTGGACGAACGTATCCCACTTGGCCAGAGGTAGAAGAATGCCAACACCCCCCATTCCCAGAGCCGTCAACTCACAGCCCGTGGCCTCTGACGTCTCGAGATTTTCCACCATACGTATCACTGGTCGTGGGGTCGTATGGCGCAACACCGCTGCTGAATTTCACTGCTCAAAACTTTCACGAGTGTGAGCTTCGACCGCAGCAGGCTGCGGCTCGAGCTGGATTTAAGAAGATTTACCGCGACGCACTAATCCTATCCCAAGCCTGGAGAAATCTCACCCCGGAGGCACTCAAGTCGTTTGAGAAAGGTGGTGGCTCGGAAGAAGTCAAGTCGATGGCGCAAAGCCTCGAAAGCGCGCTGTACACAATGATGTTGCATCTTGACGACTTTTACTTCCTTGGTGCCTTGACGAGACCTCACCACAATCTAACTGCTAGCTCGCAAACTCATTCGCTAACAAAGTTGGAGACCGGATTTGGTGTTTTGAAGGGCACAGTCTCGGCCGCTGCGGGGAGACCGGGGGAAGCAGAAGAGCATCGCGGGGACGGAGGGTGGTTCTCGGTAATTCGGCTCTGGCTCAAATGTTCAACATCTGCCATCTGGAATTCTTTCTGTGGAGAGGAATCATTCGATATTATCCCATTTGAAGAGTCGGTCGTGGTTCTCATCCATGAGATGGTACACGCCTACCTCCAAATGTTTCTTTGCAGACGTCCTCAATGCGAGAGGGATCGACTCAACACGGATGGCCTCTCTGGTCATGGCCGTACTTTCCAGAAGCTGCTCGCATTGATCACAGTAGAGTTCCAGGGATGGCATGGCTCTTTACGGAATATTATTGAGGATAGGTGCTATGAGGGCACTTGGGTTGACAGTTTCAACGACGATGTTGAGCAGGCTGCCATTGAAGCTGCCAGAAGCAGAGGCGAACTTGCTCAATATCTTCCACTGAGAGCGGATAGCTGCCGCACGCTCGTCCGAATTGTCAATAAAGAGCTCCCCAATGGAGAGCGGACGTCTAACGTTATCTATCGGCAGCCCGGATCCGACATTCCACCAAAGGCTGACGAGGACCCAGATTACGTGTATGATGAGGACGGCGACGTTAATATGGACCTGTAGGGGGGCCAGGGGCCACAAATGGATATAGCTCTGTCAATTCCTAAGTGTTGGTAAGCATGCTTCTTAGCTGCGTCTTTTGGATTCGGAAGGAGATGGAGGTGTTGGATTGGGCTTGGGTTGGTGTATTTGGATTTAGATAGATGGAGCACGTTGAGGTTTTTGTTAGATTTCGGTAATTCTCGTTGCGTTTCAAGGTGATGGTCGTATTCTTTCTCTACTCTGTCACCGTGTAAGTTTCCCTCTAGACCTTGAACCTTTGAAGGCAGAGGTGGTGTTTCTTGTCCTTCTTTGATGCCATCATTCAACACCTCTTAGCGAGTATCATGTTGGCCCAGAGTACCATTACTAGGGGTATTATTTTTCTTTCTTCATTCGTAACAGGTCTTATCTATACATCTATACAGCGTAAACATCATTTCAATCCATCGCTCTATCCAAGCCGGCATCCTTCCTATGCATCCGGCACGTACACGCCATCCTTGCAGAGGACGACAATCTTCTTGAAGAACCGACGCCATTCCAACGGGTCTCCCTTGATCTTCACGAACCGGATATCCAGCAACTCCTGCTCCTCAGGCAGCTTGTGCTTGTCGACGTGGATCTCGCCGTGCAGCGACTGTCGACGCGCGTCGAGCGTCTTGATCTTGATGATGACGATGTGGTCCGAGTACAGGTTCGGCGTAACGGGAGGCAGCGGGACGTTGAGCTGGTGCAGGGCGTCGCTGAGCATCTGCACGATGAGCTGGGGCGGCACGTGTGAGAAGAAGCGTGTGAGGGACTCGAACGGCACGATATCGCGGAAGCGACGGGCCGCTTGGGTGAGGGTCAGAGGGACACCTGGGGTCTGCGAGAATTGGCTGATGGAAGGCTCTTCTGCGAGGGACTCCATGAACAGGCGTCGGTTGGCGACACCGCTCACGCTTCGGGTCAGAGGTTGTGTGGAGGAGACCGCAATAGGATTCATGACTTTGAGGGCAGGGCGCTCCCAATCCCACGCGACGTCGTTGATGGGTGTTTCAGGCTGGGTGAAGGAGACCTTGCCGGCGCTATCGATATCCATGGGATCACTGCTGGACGGGTTGCCTTGAGAGGCTGTAGGTTGCTGGTTGAAATCGATCTTGAGACTTTCTAGCATCTGCGTGGCCAAGTTGATCGGGTCGGAAATCGCGCCGTCCGATGTCAAATGTGGGTTTTGCCTCGTATACCATGGGTGTTGTCGGATCTGTCGAAAAGAGAAGCGTTTGCTCGGGTCAATGTTCATCATGCCTCGAAGCAGTGACAAGGTATCTGACGGTATCCTCCCCCAAAGCGCATCTGTGCTGCGGCCGTTCGTTCGCACGTACTCCTGGTACTCCCAACTACCCTTCGACGGCTCATCCCAGGGTGTGTTGCCAACCAACAGTACGAAGAGGATGACACCGCATGACCAGATGTCAACAAGATCTGGCGAGTACTTTACTGCGTCCGGGGATGCCTTCTTCTCTGCCTTGCCGCAGGCGAGGATCTCAGGCGCGATGTATGGTGGACTCCCGCAAAGGGTGGAACTCGTCTTCCGTTGACCCTTGTACTCAAACATGGTTGACATGCCAAAGTCGGCGAGCTTCAGACTTCCCGTCTCGGATAGCAAAATGTTTTCGGGCTTCAGATCTCGGTGCGCCACGCCCTTTGAGTGGATGAAGCTCACGCCGCTGATGAGCTGCAGAAAGTAGAGGTGAGCAATGTTCTCGTGGACGCCCACGTCTGCCTCAATCTTGTCGAAGAGGTCGCCTCCATCGGCAAACTCCATGGCGATCCATCGCCAATTGCTGTCCTCTCCCGAAGCGAACCACTCAATGATGTTCGGGTGCTGGCCGACATGTGAATGGAGTGACACCTCCATGAGAAGCTGCTTTGCCGACACGCGGCCATGTTTGACGGCGTAACCCTTGTGAATGAATTTGACAGCGAAGACTGGCGTGTTTGCGTCTAGAGGGACGGCTTTTTTGATTCTGAAAGCCCGCAGTCAGTGGCGGGGTTCATCAGACGTCAAATTGAGGGGTAGAGTTCTTACGATGCATAAGCCCCTCGCCCAATGGTCTTCGAGATGACCCTGAAGGGCAAGTCACTGGGCAGAGGGTCCAGCTGTGATTGCTGCATCTTTGCTGAGTGAGCCGAGAAGTTCAGATGGTTTTGGGAGAGAGTCTGCGGCAGACTAATTCATGACTGAGACCGACCGAGCACAGGGGAAACAGGGATATCGATTCACGGTGCTGTCAGGCAAACGATGCCAGGCAAAATGAGATGGATAGATGACGTATCGAACTAGCATAGGGCGAATTCCGCACAAAGGGTCCAAGGGTCCAGCGTCAATAAGAACTCACCATGTTGTTTGAGGTGTGTCTTGAGTCGTTTGTCTCCCCCGCGGTGGCACTCTGGAGCGCGTCTTGACCGCGTAAAGAGCTTTTGGCGTGTTTTGTTTGGAGTCATGGAAGGTGTTTCATTGCCGCCTGCATCAACGCGAATTCATTGGCCGATAAGCCCTCTTATCGCGGTTGCTGCAGTGTTGGTCAGGTAAACAGTCCGCCACCACTCCTCCAGGACACCCCTCCAAAGCAGCTGGATCCCTGCCCTATAGTGTCGCCGCTTTTGTGGCCAAAACTAACCTCCCACCAAGACCAACAAGCTACCTATCGAGTCACCATGGAATGTGATTACTAGCACATCAATGATAATAGGGCTAGAAAGTGAATTGCGATCTGATTGTTGTAGTCGCCAATGCAAGACCTGGAAACCCGCCAGTCTCTTTCCCCTTCCCATCTCCGCCAAGAAAAAGCTGCAAACAACTGGAGCCCCAAACTCTCGTACTCAAGTTCAGCAATCGGATGCGGCACCTGGCCAATTTGCGCAAATCAGTAGAACTGTTCTCTCTGCTCTTTGGAACAGAATTTTCGCGTAATGAAAGAACAGCGCTCCTGCCTCGGCCTCAGTTGATCACTGAGCCGCATCAAAACGCCTCCCTTAGACTCGGTTACGTCGGCGGCGCAATTCTCTGCAGGATGTTAGGATAGTAACTAAGTAAACATGTCATTGCACTTACTTGGCAGTCTTGTTGGTAAGTCCATAGTCGCATCGACAGGCCCAGCATATCTTGAAATTGCACTTGGGGCAGGTATGGATGTGCTTGGTCTGCATCCTCTTGCAGACATCACACTGATGGCCTGGTTCATAAAGCGTTTCCCACAAATAGTGGTTATGAAATCCGACCAAGCAAGCGGTTGGGTCTCGCTTGTATTGCTTTGTTGTGGCAACTTCTTTCTTCTCGGCTGCTTTCTTTCGCAGAACGACCTGAACTCCGGTGGGGCTGGTCGTATTGTGAGTTGTCTGCACGTCGGACTGAGTGTTCTTCAATGACTTGGTCGAGACGATGGCCTGGTGCTTGGATGAGGAGTTTGTGGTACTTGGAAGTCTTGATTAAGTTAGTTTATCAGTGAGCTTTCGCCATTTAGGTATAGGAAGGTGTGACTTACGTAGTTGCGCCATCTTTCTGAACACCGTGACGTGTACAAACACAGTCCTCCCGTAGGCAAAGGTGTTTCATCTCCTCAATGGGATCGGCATCGAAGTCGATCAGATCCTCCTCAAAAGGATCAGAGTCGAATTCGATCAGATCTTCCTCAGTAGGACTAGGATCAAACTGGATCAGATCTTCCTCAGGATCGAACTCGATCAGATCTTCCCCGTCCATCTTCTCAGGTTGTCAGAAAACCTAAAAATCAAACGATTAAGGACGATAGTGCGGAAAATAACACCGTATTCCCAGACTTGTGAAGCTGAGGTGAGATAAGTTTGGAAGGTGTAGGATTGGAAAGGGCAAGAAGGCCTGAGGAGAGATGTAAAAACAAAAGAAGGGAAGTGGAAAAGTGGGAAGGAGCGTGGCTTCCTTTACTGCCTTGTGCAATGCTCTTCTTAAAGCACTTTATTCTGAAGTGAATATGCTGCAAAAGGCAAGAAGTTCCATAGACCAGACTCATTCAATCCTGCCTGTATCATGGGTGCTTTAGAACCATAGCTTGACAGGTTAGCATATTGCATACCTACGTAAAGCAGAAATGATCATTGGCATTAAACTCAAATTAAGTTCATCTCCTCAAAATGTGGTATATATGCCAGCTTCGATATCACGTATACTTGAGTCTGCAAAGCAGATATGATTAGGGGCATTGTTGATCTTTGAACTTGGTATCGATGCTCACGAGGACCGAAATTTGATGACAAGGAAGGGCATGAACACTGAGTACATACTCAAGACCAGACCACTGAAGGATGATGTTTTAACTTTTGACACATACTACAGGCTCTGTCCTACAACTTTGCGGTTCAGGCGTTCCTAGTAGCTGATAATCAAATACATCATTTGCTATAAACTTGTGTATAAGTGTACGATGCTTTCTTTTGAATGGACACATTTATTGCTCAAAGGAAGAAACGTCCAACTATGTAGCATTGAAATAGCGAACGAGGTATCCCTCAAACTGCAGCACCGTGGCCTTTGCCCAAGTCACTAGGTATCACAAAGAGACCAGTGATTCCGTAAATCACAGGCGACCAATCGCGAAGTACATTCTCAATTGAAAATGCATGTTCAATCCGCTCTTGGGGAACAGAAACCTTCCATAAGTCATGGTTGATCCAAAGGAAATCATTAAGTCATTGAAAGTCTGGAAATTGGCGTAAAAAAGGTGCGATTAAGGCTCGAATTAAGATGTAAGGTGAGGTCGTTGATTCGTACTCGCCGTTGACTTTGGTAACGGCGGCGACGACGCTAGGCCAAAAGCGGGTGCCAAAGTCAGCGCGTCGCCCAGGTACCAGCGTCTCCGATTCCCCATCCCTGCCCTTCTCGCCCTACAGAACAATTGCCTTCTGTTGTTCTTGACGCTGCAGGCTTCCAACCTCTCCCCTTGATCATCTTCCCGCACATTGCATTTCCCTGCACATAAGTACTGGCTGGCCGGATATCACCTCGCCTTAGCAAACACCTACCTGCTTCATCCCAGTTCTCATCCCAGCCTCCCAGCCTCAAGACGCCCCCTTCGCCTCGACCAGTGCTCTTTGCGATTGCTTCTTTCCATCTCACGACATTTGCGACAATGGACTACATCATGGAGGACACCCAGAACTCCGCTCCCGGAAGCGTTCCAGCAGCTAAGATTGCTGGCGCCAGGAAGGGACCTGATGCTCAGAGCGTCACCAAGAGGTATGAATATCTCGTTGCAAGACGTTGCCGTCTCATCTACGACCAGATGGACTGATTCCATGACCACAGATTGCAGACGGAATTGATGCAGCTTATGACTTCTCCCGCTCCCGGCGTCTCAGCATTCCCTTCGGCAGACGGCAACCTCATGTCGTGGACGGCGACGATTGAGGGACCCGAACAGACTCCCTATGCCGGCCTGACGCTCAAGCTCAGCTTGTCGTTCCCCAACAATTACCCCTACGCTGCGCCAACGGTGCTCTTCACGACGCCCATCTACCACCCCAACTTCGACTTCTCTGGCCGCATCTGCTTGGATATCCTAAAGGACAAGTGGACACCCGCCTACAACATTCAAACTGTACTCCTCAGTTTGCAGAGTCTGCTGGGCGAGCCAAACAAGTGAGTTGCCCCGGCAAAAAGTGGTTCGTTTGCCAATGCTAATATGGAGTCAGTGCTTCTCCTCTCAACGGCGAGGCCGCAGAGTTGTGGGACAAGGACCCCGAAGAGTTCAAGCGTAAGGTCCTCGCTCGTCACCGCGATGTTGAGGATGAGTGAGCGTGGACTGGCTTGTGGATGACACGAGAATGAGAAAACATTGTTTCGAGCACTGGAGAATTGGAGTCTATCATGTATGATTACGGGCCGGTTGTTTTGGAACTCTTTTTGTTAGGAATTGGACTGCATTGCATGGTCGGGACTTGGCCTTCAGGATTGGGGTATATCCTGTTCATCTGCTTCTGGCAGACCGCGACCAAGACGATAAAAAAAGAAGACCCTGTTGGACGATGTGTGTTACATGAACCACAAGAGATTGATGTCCCAAAAAGCCTTCGTCATCGTTCACCATTTGCCTGACACATACGCAACGCTTCCTTCGCGCGCACTTTGGCGCAGACAAAAAATAACATTCCACCACATCGCGGGGTCCAATACTAGTAAAAAGTCGTCGAAGTCGTGTGGGGAATCAAGCGTTGTTCACATTTCCGTCGATTTTGTATGTGAGACTAGAATGCCGAATGCAACTCCGATGCCTTTATGCCGCCCTGAAACCATCCCAAAGAGAACTTTTTACTCCTCAACGACAACAGTCTGGAGACCCTTGGGGTTCTTGACGTTGACGGCCTGGACGTAGCTGTACAGCTTCTCCTTGGCACCCTCCTCGTCGTTTCGTCTGCGGGAGATGCGGATGCGGAGTCTGTAGGGAACGCCCTTGATGCCCTGCTCCCAAACCTTCTTGTTCAGCTGGGGGTCAACGCGGACGTCGGAGGTACCCTATACGAATCACGAGGTTAGTGAGCATTCTTCTGGTATCTATCCATATAGTGTGGTTCGATATGGTGCCGATTGGTGTTGTTGGGTGCTGGATGCAAAATTTCGGGATGGGTTCGAGAGGGACAAGACGTACCATGGCCTGGAGAGCGAAAGCCTTGATCTCCTTGATGGCACGGGGAGCGCGCTTCTTGAAGGAAACGCCGTGGAGCTACAGAACAAAAATTGTCAGCATTGCTATGCTATGCTACCGGTTCGCCATCGTGGGCCATTGAATTCGCTGTCGACGGCGTCCTTTTTTCTCTCCTCGGGGAAATACTAACGCGCTTGTGCATGTGGACGGTGTACTCGCGAGCGACGACATCAGCGATGGCGGAACGCTGCTTTCCGGCGGGCTTCTTCTGCTTGGTCGACATTTTGGCGGTACCTCTCGTTGGGCGGTTCGGTCGTCGGGATCGCGGAGTCGAATTGTCTAAGAAGTTGTCGATGTGATGGTTTTGCGTAGTCCGGCAGGTCATCCCACAAAATGTGAAGCGAGAAATTGCAAGCCCTACCTGCTTTTCCGTGGCTGAGGCGGGGCCTGTGCTTGTGGCTGGGTAGCTGAGGTAATGCGGCGTTTTCGTTCCACCTGTCCCTCTTTTCTCGAGATGGGGCACGTGACGTTGCTCAAGAAAACGTCTGAGTGCCTGAGAAGCTAAGGCGCTGCAGTAAGGTGGACTCGTGTGTGGGTGGGACCACACTGACAGTGGGAAAGCGCGCTTTTTCGGAGGAAAGTACGTACAGGTGGGTCGTATCCCCCCTGACCAGACAACCTGAACGAAATTAGTGTCTGGGTCTGAGTGCTTGCTTGATCTGCTGTTATGCCGTATCCCAACGGCATCCAAGACTCAAGCCATCACGCCCTGCAGCGCCATCGTCAATCACACTGACGCTGTCAGTTTGCGCCGTGCGCGATCCTTCCCTTCTTACGCTCGTTCAGTACACAAACCGACCTGGGGGAAGCCTAGCAACCGACGAGTAGACAGCCACGCTACGACCGAACCTTTGCGGAGTGCACCTGCCAAACCTCATTTACGATATTCGTACCGCGCTTCTCCGACGACCAAAACTTCGACTTCGCACCACCCGACGACAGCGACTCTGTCGGCCGCCGTTTCCTTTTCGTCCGACTTCTCTTTATCAATCACTACATAATTTTGATTTCGATTCTCGATTCTTCTCGCGAATCCAACCCGCTCGATATCATGGAGGACCGATCAACTGGGGCCTCCGGCTCGCCCTCTCCTCAGCCAGACCTGCACCGGAACCGATTGCCGACTCTGTTTGAGGTCTTGAGTCGTCGAACCCTGCCGCCCGTCGACCTCTTCTCGTTCTACATTTTCATGAGAGATCAGCAAAAATCCGTCGATTACCTCGATTTCTGGTATTTGCAAACGGCAACCCATAATCACGCGTTTGGTCACTAACGAAGGATAGGCTCGATGTTGCTCAGCACATGTCCTTGTGCCGGCACTATGTGCGCGAACTCCGCAGATCCGTTCTAGTTGGAACACCTGACTTGGATAAGTCGGGCTCCAAGCGGTCTTCTCAGATCTTGGATGGACTTGGTGACATGAGCCATTCCGCCGCCGGCCCATCAATGTATGCCACCGAAAAGGAGAAGAACCAGGATGCCCAGATGTCGGCCTACCTGAGAGAAGAGGCCCAAGACTCCCCTCAAAGCAGCACTGGAGAACATCGCAGCCGTCCCAGTGGGGCTTTCAGCACCCCGCGCGACCTGACCACGGATTCCAACTCTCCCGCACATACTGTCGCGAGACAGGATATCCGGGCTTCGGCGGAGAAGATCCTCTACACCTTCCTCCTTCCGGGCGCAGAGCGTGAAATCATTCTCCCGGGCTCCATTACTCAGGACGTCACGACTTCCATTGAGGACTTTGGTAGAGACGATCCAGAGGTGTTTGACGTTGCCAAGGACTACGTCTTTCAGGCTATGGAACGCGATGCCTTCCCCAACTTCTTGAGAATGAAGGCCCTTGGCAACCTCATCCCGACCACTCTCCAGATCAGAATGATTGTTGGTCTTCTGGCCATGTTTGGTGGCTTCTGGGCCGCTTTCATCCTCATCTTCCTCAATGCCCCCCGAACTACCAGATGCTGGGTGAGTTTCTTCATGACCTCATATCTTACCTCCTGCTAACTTGTCTTTCAGCTTATCCTTCCATTTACTGTTGGTGTCTACTTCCTCGCATCATACCAGTACTCTCTGGATCCTGTCCTCGCTCTCATCGGCCTCAGCGAGTACACGCCGTTCAACTTCTCTCGAATTCGTGAGCCCTACGTTCGTAAGCTCCTTGCTAAGCGGTCTATCATGGTCCTCGCCGTCACAATTTTAATCGACGCCGCGCTCTGTGTGCTTTTCATCCTTGTCCCCGGCAAACGGTTGTAAAATGCCTTGTTTTATCCGGGACCACAACAAAGGATGCGTTGCAATACCCCAGACACAACAACAATGCGGCCCCATTCTACATTACAGATGTAATAGTATGGACGCTTTGTCTGTCAAAGAGAGAGCTTTTACGAACGTTACGACCCCCAGGATTTTGAGCGACAGAGTTTCCCAAATTTTCGGTTTTGATTCGGTCTTCCATTCAGGATACCAGAGAGGCATGGCGTAGGGAAAGTCGAGGCCCCCAAGGGGACATAACCTCGCACACGGCGTTCAACAAGGGACAGATTTAATTTCTTTTCAATGTAAACAAGGCATTGGTGTATCATTATCGACACTGCGAGAATCGACACCGGAATCCTCGCCACCGAAGGCAGGTAAAACTGCAAGGCGGCAGAGAAAGAGGCGGAGGAGAGGCGACAGGAGACTTTTGGCTTCGACACATTCGTTCACTTTCTACATTCCCTTAACATTTTATCAATGGCACGCTAGATAGGCATCACAGAACAGGAAACGGCAGAGGTTAATCTCTGTTAGTATTATCGAATTCGATGTTGACTGTGTTTATTGAGTTCTCATGATGTATCGTGATAATGCCTGTGCTACTTTTCGGCTGTCTTCCCTTCAGCCATCATCTTATGCCACGTCCTGACCGTCTATCAAGTGCCACCGAGCCTCCAACGGGTTCTCTGGCCGATGGTCCCCATGGGTAACGCCGGGAAAAGTGTTCCCGAGACGAGCCGGAAGTGTCCTCTACAGCTCCGGCTTTACTAGCAACCAATCAATCCACTAAAGCTTCCGTCGGCTGGCACGCTTCTTCTCCTGCTCGTCATCCTCCTCGTCCACGTCCATGGCCTCGTCGTCAATCTCCTCCGTGTTGTCCATCATGCTGGTGCTACCTCGCTTATTGTACCGCTGCGCCCTAGACGTGTGGCCCAAGAAGCCGCCTACCCTCTCCCCACTGCTGCTGCCGCCGTGCTGTGCATGACCGACGGCAAGCTTCCTGCCCCCGGGACCACCGGCGCCCCCCGCCTCGGGATCCTTCTTGACGTCCTCGACGAGCTTGGCCAGACGGGCGTCCTGCGCGGCCTTTTCGCGCTGGCGGCGGGCCGCGGCGTCGCGGATGCCTGCGATCTGGGATTCGAGGTCGCCGAGGGTCGATTCGCAGCGGCTGGACCAGGCGCGGAGGGCGGCGATCATGGGCGGGACGGCGCCGGGGGCAAGATCGCGGAGGGCGGCGAGGGAGTTCACCTGGACGACTTGACGGTGGGGGTCGAGGGTCGCGTCGAGGAGGCCGGCGTAGATTGCGGAGATGACGAGGTCTTCCAGGGCGCGGGTGGAGGAGAGGCCGAGGGCGGACTGGAGGGCTGCGTAGGTCAGGTTCGAGCGGTCGCGGGCCAGGGTCAGGAGGGAGAGCTGGCGGAGCTTGAGGGTTTGGGCATCGTTGAGCTGGGGCAGGCTCCCCGATGCCGAGGCGGATTGGTAGGTGGCGTAGGTGCCGTGGGAGAAGAGCTCGAGGAGGCGGAGGTGCGGTTCGAAGTCGGGGGACTGGGCGAGGGCTTGGATTTGCGGGGTCTCGAGGAGCTCTGTGAAGAGGAAGGTGTTTGGGTTTGATGTTGCGCGGGTGACGAGGTCGGCTGCGGCGCGGGGGGATGTTGCTGACTTGCTCAGGGCCAGGAAGGGCTGTTGTTGAGAGGTGGTTAGCATTTGCGTCCGTAGATGAGCAGAGTGTGTAGTATTGGTTTGGGCGGCTTACCTCGAGAGCATTGAGAGCTTTGGTCTGCTCCATCGTGAGAGCTGCTCGTCTGTGATGTTCACGAAGCTCCGAGGTGGGGTACTACTGCTGTAGGAGTAGCTGTCGTCACTACCTGCAATAGCACAATGTGGGGTTGGCTTGACGAGGCTGAAGGTAGGTTGGTCCAACTCGCTGGGGATCGGACGAGACGAGGCTGAGAAGGATGGTCGCTTTCGGAGGATGCTACCTCTCTGTCGTGCTGTCAGAGGTTGGCAAATCGTAGCGTAAGGGTGTGAGGAAGCGAAGGGGGTTTGGTTCGTTTGTGGTGTGTTTCCTTTGGAGATCGTTCTGAGGACGAAGCTTGTGTCAGATCCGTTTGAGGTGCCCATCCAGACAGGGCCACTGCAAGAGCGAATGGGGACGCTGCCACAGAGGTCGGGTGCCTTAGTGGCGCGGGGCAAAGTGTGTTCGGGGGCACCTGGCAGGGTGCTGGTGGGGTCAACACATCTTACCTTACAGAGTAAGCCCAGGTATCTTACCTAACCGAACGTGTTTACCTCAGTAACCTTACCTAAGGCAAGCATTCTCGAGGCACACCTTAAGTCGAGGCCGGATGGGGCATCCCGCACCAGCCGGGCCGCTGACGGGAATTGGAATGGAAGCTCTTCTGCATTCCCTCCGGAGGTCTCACTTCAGGTTGGACAAGAAAGGAGCATGGCAGATAACTGGTCCCTTTGTCTCCATCCCGTTGACCAGGAGCCATGGCGACACTGGCAATGATCGTTTCCTCGTGAATTGATCTGAAGCTAAAACGGCTTCGAGAAGCAACCGTGGGAAGTTGGAGCCGGAGCTTGGCGATATGATCTTACAAGGAACTGGGTTTCTTCACGAAAATCTCCCGAAGATCAATTGGCGTCCGTAGCCACATGCCATCATTCTTTCAATCTTGCTGCAATACTGTTGCATGCCATTTTACCTTCCATATCCGGGTGGTTTTAGAGGATCTTGAATACATTGCAGATATGAATGATGGGCTATGCAGCTTACATTGGAGCTTGGCACAGGTAGTCAGTCGAATCAGCGTCATAACCCCCCTCTTCAGAAGCACGCATCGTACGTTATCGATAGCAGACTGGACTTTTTTCCCCCTCGTTGTTGACATCGAACTGGGTATCAAGGTTTGTTGCCGGCGGTCTGGAAAAAAGAAGTTGACAGAATTGTTTGGTCGGTCCGTCGGAAACTCAAAATAAAGTCATGGTGGAAGTCGGGTCTAAGGAACGACAGACCGATACCGAGTACAACGTGAAATCGAAAGACACGGACTTGCGTACACATGGAGTCTGACGAATATCAATCCATAGGGATAAAGATCGGAGCCACGAATCAATCATATGCCGCTGTCATCGCTGTTCAGTCTTGTTGATTTGCAATTCTCATGTGTTCAGTTCAAGAGACACGGAACACGGCTCTCAGGAGCATGAAGCATAGCGCCCACAGTTCCCACTCCGAGACGCGCCGGATCTAAACCGTCCAATGGAGAGTTAGGATGGACTGGTTTCTGGCGAGCCAGTCACCCAGAATGCTAGGCTGGTCTGAGGCTGAAGCTCAATCCGAACCCAGGAGTCCCCTTGGACCCTAAAAACTGCCTCAAGTGACCGTGCCCCCCGAATGTTTCGTTAGCCAAGCTCAGGACTCAGGTGCGTCGTCGTGTTCCGTTCCTCGCGCAAGCGCTCCCTAGACCCCGGACGAGGAAAAGTGAGGGGTGTGTTTGCGTGTACCGATAGATACGAAAGGTCGTAGTGAGCGAGGGAGCGTGGCAATGAGTTCTAGCACCCATCAGCTCAGCTTACCCAAGTCCAGTCAGTTGAAGCCAGTCAGCCCAGTCAGTCTTACGTGCTGCCCCCGGGAAGTGCCATGAATAGTCTTCCTGTAGAAAATGCACAGCCGGACCTAGCCCTGACTCGATGTCTCACCGGTCAAGGAATGGTATCCATAGTCGTACACCTATCCGCAAAGAAGAGGTCTTCAAGTCCTCGTGGATGATGGGCAGTAAATGAACCTGTGAGCGATGTGACATCTGACAGATTGGTACTGCGTAGGTAGGCGGTGCGCCAGACAAGGAGCGGATAGATATTGGTTGATCTGGACGAGTCGAGGTTAGTGCGAGGTTCTCGCGATCCCCCCACTGATCTCTTTTTGGCCCAGAAATAGACCAAGAGCAAGAGCGCAAAGTGGTCAAAAGGAGATGGAAGGAGAGAAGTGGGAGGGGACCCGGCCCAGGTGTGGCGCCCGAGCACCGAAAGCTGCAGTGCGGGCTGGGATCACCCGTGCGAATCTCGTTGGTCACTTCGGCCACGCCCATCGAGTCGTCGACACAATTCTATCCGTACAAGTGCCGTCCTTCTTTCCAATGTACACAGTCACTCTCTTTCTCTCGTGTGTCTCGTTCTTCAAGGTCGACTCGTGGCAATGATGCGAAGACTCGCGGCGCCAGGTGACGGTTTTGGTGTAGCCCATGAGGTAATCAGTGACCTTAGTCAGGGGCGAAGCTCGGGAGCAACGTAAAATAAAAAAGACTCGGGGTTCAGGAGGCGTCACTGGAAAACAATTAACAGAAGCCAAGATGAGGATAAGAGCAGGGGCAAAGGTCTTGTTGCTGGAGTTCTAACTACAAAAAGCAACAGAAGAAACCCAACCGCACGAGCCCCCAAAACGAATGCAGCCGTTGTCAGTCATGGGGAATATGGAATAGGTATGGCAACACTAGACAGTTCTGTCATGGCTGGAATTGGCGCTGAGAGCGTTGCAGTTTTGCAGTTGGCGTCGCAATTGCCCCCAGGAGTTGTTCAATGTTCCGTTCCAAGTGTCCACACACATACACAGCACAGGCAGAGACACAGACACAGACAGTCAGACGCACCAGCAGCAGCAAGCGCACACCCCCTTCGGGCCATTGGGGCCACTTCCCTCCCACACACCCTGGTTGCCAGTCCCACGATTGCGCCAGATGATTACCTTAGATCCCGGCTACACCGCGCGCACCCACACGCCGCCGCTCCGTCTTCTTCTCCTGGCCCTGCAGCCCACCTACCTTACCTTACGGATACCTTGCCGTACCTTACTTTTGTTACAACTTACGAAGTACCGCCCCCCTAGTCAAGCAGTGCTGATGCTGGTTTGTAACTTTGCTTCACTGGCCGCTGCTACTACCGCTGCATTGCATCCAGGTGTGGACATTCCCACACTCCTCCCACTCCCACTCCCATCAGTACCATGGGCGGCGGACCTTCAGTCCCATTCCTGCCGGTCCACGAAACTTTGGCTGACAAAAGCCGACCTTCCGCTTCCGTCCCCCCCCAAGCCTCTCTTTCGCCTTCCATTCTGCCCATCGTGCCATTGATTGCCGCCGTTCTTCTTCTAGCCTCCCGGGCCCTTGATTCTTAATCCTACCTTGACCCGGCTTCTTTTTTGCGCGCTGCCTCACTTAACTCACGTACGTACGCTTACTTTTACGCACCAACATACTCTCTCCGTACGCATACGCGAACACGTACACTCGTACACTCAAACACCACGATACCCACCTTTTCAGTATCCGTACATAGTACTCGGAAGCCGGTCTTCTGGAGCATTTCCCGAAAGTCTCTCTCTTCCAGCTTTACCTCGAGTCCTTGTTTCGTCTCGACTTCGATCCCGTCTTCGAATAATCTCCCAAAAAAGACTCCTCCTACCTCTCTATGGACAGCTAGCACTATCATGAAAGATTGGTGCTAGATAAGCTGTGGAAAAAGTCCCGAAACCGAAGCATAACCAAAGACCGAGGCTGGCCCTATACTCACACCGCGCCCGCTTCCTGAGCGCAAACCTCCCAGAGACAGATCGACACCATGGCTCCTCCGGCCATTAGAGTACCGAGGAAGAGCGAGAGTGGTCCTATGGCTACTCTCGCCACACCAACAGCAACCCAGTGGGCGACGACGACCCTCAAGGTCGGCGGCATGACGTGAGTTGCGCTCTGTTGCGACGTGTTGCCGCTTCGATATGCTTACCCAGTTTCAACAGATGTGGCGCATGCACTTCAGCAGTAGAGTCGGGCTTCAGAGGTGTAGAAGGTGTAGGAAGCGTCTCTGTCGCCTTGGTCATGGAGCGAGCGGTAGTAATGCACAACCCCGAAGTCATCTCTGCCGAGCAGATCGCCGAGATTATTGAAGACCGAGGATTCGACGCCGAAGTACTCTCCACCGATCTACCCTCACCAATGTTCCCAGCAAAGCAAGACCTGTTTGATGCCGAGGAGGACAGCGGATTGATGACAACAACCGTCGCCATAGAGGGAATGACGTGCGGCGCATGCACATCAGCCGTTGAAGGAGGGTTCAAAGACGTGGCAGGCGTAAAGAACTTCAGCATATCCTTGCTCTCCGAAAGAGCCGTCATTGAGCATGACCCGACACTACTCAGCGCCGAGAAAATTGCGGAAATTATTGAAGACCGAGGCTTTGGCGCCGAGATCGTAGACAGCGAAAGCGCACAAGAAAAGCCCAGAGCCAGCTGCAATCCCACGAGCTCTGTCGCCACTACAACAGTCGCAATTGAGGGCATGACTTGTGGCGCCTGTACATCTGCGGTTGAGGGCGGATTCAAGGAGGTGGGGGGTGTTTTGCGCTTCAACATCAGCTTGTTAGCTGAGCGTGCCGTTATTACCCACGACACATCAAAGCTTCCAGCGGAGAAGATCGCCGAGATCATCGAGGATCGTGGCTTCGGTGCTGAGATTTTGTCGACTGCGTTCGAGACGTCAGCAAACGGTGCAGGAGGAAATTCCACCGCTCAATTCAAGATTTACGGCAACCCAGATGCCACGGCCGCCATGGCCCTGGAAGCAAAGCTTCTCACCATCACCGGTATCAATTCTGCTAAGCTCAGCTTGGCTACCTCCAGATTGACGGTGACGCATCAGGCCAATCTGATCGGTCTGCGTGGAATCGTCGAGGCTGTCGAGGCCGAGGGCCTCAACGCCCTGGTGTCCGACAACGACGACAACAACGCCCAGCTCGAGTCCCTGGCCAAGACCAGAGAGATCAACGAGTGGCGGAGAGCCTTCAAGTTGTCTCTGTCGTTTGCCATTCCCGTATTTTTTATCAGTATGATTTTGCCCATGTGCTTCCCAAGCCTTGACTTTGGCAGCTGGGAGCTTCTTCCTGGCATCTTCGTTGGCGATTTGGTCTGTTTGGCCCTTACGATACCCGTCCAATTCGGCATTGGAAAGCGTTTCTATATTTCAGGTTGGAAATCCATCAAGCATGGATCACCGACCATGGACGTCCTCG